GACAGTTGTGGGTTTCGTAGCACTTGGCCAGTCAGGCTTGGGGGCAGTGGGGACAGTTGTGGGTTTCGTAGCACTTGGCCAGTCAGGCTTGGGAGCATTAGCAGTTGGAGCGGCAGGGGAAGAAGAAGCGGAGCCGAAAGTGAACGAAGACTTGGCGGAGAAGGGGGAGGGATAGGGGGGCGCCTGCAGGCCCGCTTGTTCGTCTAACCGATTCTTCCGGTCGTCGTTATCCACCAGGTCTTTATCCTCCGGGAAGTAGTCCTCATCCCTGTGGTAATCCTCATCCCTATGGTAGTCCTCATCCCTATGGTAGTCCTCATCCCTATGGTAATCCTCATCTCCGTACTGGTCTTCATACTGGTCTTCATCTTCCTGGATATTTGTTGGTTGAGCGCTTGATGTGAATGGTTGTTCGAGGTCGTCCGAGCTCTCGGCTCCGTCATTGTTGGCTCCGTCATTGATGGGACCGATTTGGGTCTTTTTTCTGCTCAGACAGACCAGTTTGTCCAGGTCGATCTCTTCCCAAATTCGGAATGCCCGGTCGGCAGCCACCAGCTCGACCAATGTTTCCGTCTTGCGCGTGATGCCTTCAATGTTCGGCTCCTCCATTACCTCGTCGCACATCGGTATACAATACTCGCCATGCAACTTAAACTCGGCCTCTGGCGACCCTCGACTTAACACACAGACTTTGCTATCTCCACATGAACTGGCCACCACTAACTTGTTTGTACTCAATTGACTAACCAGCAACCGCCCCTCGTCATCATCGGAATACAACTAAGAAAACAAGAATCAAGAGGAAGCAGTGAACCTACCAAATTAAACCAATATGAACGTCTTTCGTTTTCGTTGTCGAAATATACGACTGTCAACATGCCATTATTCCAACACCCCAAAACGTATTCTTCAAGGCGCGAGTCTAGTCGATACAGACCCCTTATCTGACCTGTCAACCGGCATTCTGCTTCTTGAGGTTCTACTCCTTCAGTTCCCACATCTTCGGTTCCCGCATCCTCGGTTCCCGCATCTTCGGTCTTTGTTACTACTATAGGCTCGTCATGAAGCAGTATCACTCCATCGTGACATGAAAGTCCGGCTTCTTGAGGCTCCACCTCCATGACAGCTCAACTTTATGTTTTTAAAATTCGGCACGACTAAGTCATGAGCTCACGACCGAGCCGTGACTCGAGCGGTGGCTGGACGACTGTGCTGCGACCTGTGATCGACTTGGGTCCCGACCCGGCCACGTTAAAAGCTCAGTAGCAGTTGGCGGTAGGTGGTTAAGGCGGTGGGTGGTTAGGCCGGTAGGTGGTTAAGGTGGTAGGTGGTTAGGGCGGTAGGCGGCTAGGGAAAAAGTTCTCGGATTTGCACGTGGTTTGGCAAGCCCATGATGCTGAGGGTGTAGCTGCAGGAGGCAGTGGTATCGTAGAAGGAGTTCCAGAAATCTGCGCGGCAGGTGGGTCTATCTCTTGCTTGCGCGTACTCTGCGGGGACGGGACTGAGGTAGAGATAGTACTCTATTTGGGCGGCGGGTGGTCCATAGACGGAGACGGATGAGATACAAACGATGTTGTACTTGGTGTAGAGGCGGGCCGCGGCGGAGCTGGGGGTCTTGGCGTCAGCACTGAGGCCGCCTTCAATGTCCGAAAAGGTCAGGACACCGACTACGGCGCTATCTTGTTGCCGAAGCGCCTGCAGTCGGCCATATCGCGCCCAGTCCACAGTCTGCAGCCCCAGGTCGTTTTCTGCCTGTCGTGGCCCTCGCAGGACACAGAGCACCGTCAGCGACGGCCAAACTTCGCCGCTAAGACTGCGGTCATGTACCTGCAACCGCACCGACAGCGGCGACTTGGCTACTACTGGCTTCAGTGCAAAGAGCCTCAACATACTACTGCCGTGATACTCCGATACGAAACGGCTTTCCTTACAGAACGGATACGGAATCGCCATCAAGCACAAACCATGGTAGTAGATTTCGTTACCGCACCGGCCATCCGGCAACACACTCGAGTGTCCACGAGAGGCCGTGCAAAGACGCAGCTTCTCTGTCACTGTGTTAAGAGTAGCGTCCGGGATGTCAAGATGACAAGTGATCTGGTATTTGACGAACTGGTTGTTGCTGAAGGTACTGGGGATTAGGGTATATTCCCCCGGGTTCAGGCGCAAGTCCAGACAACAGGCGTTCTGGCGGTAACTACCCGAGGAGTAGGCGGTGCATGTCCGAAGTGCCCGCGGCGAGGCGAAACGGGAAGTAAATAGTCGTAGTCCCACTGAGACGTCCGCGGGCGTCTCAAGCACAATGATCACACGACAGCGCACAGGCACTTCCAGTCGGTAATGCGGATTCCGAAAGTACTCCCACAAGTCGTTTGAGCAGCCGCCAGAGTTGCTACGGTTCCACTGGTCATTGATCCGAATAGTCTGCCATAACTTACCCGGTTTCGAACCTTGGTGCGCACTTTGGTACGCACTTGGATTCGAACCGGGGGAGTTCAGGTTCGGATTAAGACGCCCTTTGGAGGCAAAGGCGGTCGTCTCGTTAGCCACCGGGCTGCCACAAGGCAGCAGGGATGCGTCCACGCCCGTGTTAGGAATTAGGGGCGGCAACTGTCTGACAGCGATAGGTAAATTGGCATGCATGCGTAGCGTAAACTTGAAGGTGGATTTTTGACCATATTGCGAGACAACTAGCACATGTTCCTCGTCATCCAAGTACTGAGTGTTACTACCGGTTATCTCGTCCACGGAGGAGTTGTCCACGAAGTTCGGCTCCAGAATACAGCGCTCCAGACCGCTCCAGGTGGTGGTCTCTACCATTTCGCCGCTACTGGCCGCGTCGCCGCCGCAACTGGCCACATCGACATAGCCCGCCGTGTCGCCGTAGCTGGCCATGTCCGCAGTGTTGCTGCTGGCTTCCGTGTTGGCACGGAGTTTCGCTCCTCCAGTTCGGCCCAGCGAGCGATCTTCGTTGTTCGATGGGTGGAAGGCATGGTAGTTGTTCGAGGTGTGGGTGGACTCGTTGTGCGGTGTGGGCGGGGTCCAGACGATGGTGGTACCGGCGTTACCGAGGACCACGGGGCGCAGGACGTCTAGTCGTAGCAGGACGCACTCACCGTTGCTATAGATGCCTTGATGGACGGCGCCGTTTCCGCAGATTTGACGACGGTTGCCACGGTAGACGTGACAGGCAATATAGCGTTGATGAGCGTCACGATTGCGTAACTGCAGGTGCCGACTGAGGAGGACCCAGACGGTGACCACAAAGGCCTCGGGGTTGGTTTGTCGCCGGGCCTGGAGCTCTTTGTACTGTTGCCGCGTCTGCGCGAACACGGGACACACTTTGAAGCGGAACTGTGGGTTGTACAGAATCAGATGCGTGTCATCGGGCAACAGGCTTTCCTGCAAATGCACGTCGTCGCCCCAGATGTCGTCCAGCGATATTCGGTAACGCAAACAGTTTGAATTCCAACAAATGTAGACGTGCGAAAACCACAGAATTATGTCCTCCCAACGAATCCAGAAACAACCGTCGTCCACCTCTGCCGCCTTCGAGGAATTATAGCCACACAACCGCTCCAATTCCGGCGTCCAACACGGATCTCCCGGACAGAACGATAACTTCCACCGAATCACCGACCATGGATTTCGCACTAACACCAACTTGAGCGGGCCGTGCTCCACCATGCGAATCACCGCGTACGCATGCCGCGCTACTATCCCGCTGCTCATACTCACTCCCTCTACATACTCTAAGCCACTCGGCGCGCTATCAGCCACTTCAGACGTTCCCAAACAGACTACGCAGGTCCCGCCGACGAACCCTCGATACATTTGCTGCCAAACTGCGTCCCAGCGACCCATGCCGCGAGCAGACGGGCTTTTTGACATCGGCCCCGAGGCAGCACACACGTGTGCGCGCACTTCAGCGCGCGCTTCCATTTTTCCTCCAGACGGATTTTTGCCGCCAGATCGGTCCTGATGCCGACTGCTGCCGCTGACGGCATGGCTGCTGCTGCGATTCATCGTCTCCTTTTTGAACGGGACGGTTTCGGGTAGCCAACCGGTCAGATGAAATAAATCCGAACCCGGATTGCTGCCGTGCATATAGTATGCTCCACCGGACAGGCGGATAAATGCTTTCTCCAGAAGCGTGACCCACATATCTCGCTGATTCACCGTATGGGCAGAAAGGACGCGGCCATCCTTTTTAACCGGTACAAAGTCGTCCACGACGACTTTTCGGTGGCTGCCATTAAAGTATAGTTTACAGCCGTACATTCCGTGCGGGTTTATTATAGGACACCCCTGGTTGTCCTGCGGATATAGCAGTGGACGCAAGACCTTAATGCTTGTTCGAGCGGCATATTCTGCCAAAGAAGCCAAACTCGAGAGAAATGAGCAGTCGCCGACGAAACCCTGGCGAATGGAGACCGCCTTTGGATTTTCGGCCATTATCCGGGCCTTAAGTGGCTCGCCCGGCCGCATCGGTCGTCCATCATCATCGCTGACCAAGGTGCTGAACTCCTTGGATTCGGACAAGGCGTAGTACGGGACTTCCAGTTCGCTGATCCTTTTCCACGCATGAATTTTATAATACTGTTTGTTCGACAGCGTCAAACTCCCCATCGGGTCCGCAAACTTGCCATCGTCCAGTTCGTTCCAGCCCAGCAAAATGTCTGAAACACAGCCCTACATGAGCGATGAACCGAATTTAATCTATGCCACTCGGACCGCGGTAGCATACTTTGGGTGGAGCATCCGGTGGCCGTGTCTGCCGCTTACCTTCGTGGACGAGCCCCTTCCGTGGTTGCGGGGGCCCCTGGACCCAGAAGTTGGCGGCTATGTCTGAATCGTCGAGAGTCCAGCGCACCATTTGGTGGTGTTCCTGGTCGCCGTTGCGAATGGGGCTAGACTGGTCATTGAGGCTGGACCGGATGAGGCACTTCTTATCGAAGTAGGCCATGCGTTGCGCGAGGCCGCTAGATTCGCCACGGGGTGCGTTGCCGCCGGAATTAGGCAGGAATGCCGCGCGATGGGGGTCCAGTGCTGGTCGGTCCAGCGCCGGTTCTTCAGCATCGGGGTCGTCCATGGAATCTTGGGTTTGGTTTCGCCGGCGCTTGGCTTGCCGTGGAGCTGATCTGCAGATGTGAGTTGTTGCTTGGTGTGCGACGTACATGGTGTGGGCGGGCGAGGCTTGTCGCCGAGCGCTGCAGCTGCAACCCATTTTATTAAATTCCATATGCAGGTGGTGTTGGACAATGGCGCCGGCACGGTGAAGGCGGGGCTGCTGGGTGTCCACCGACTACCAGCAGTGGAGATTCCGAATGTGAAAGCGGAGGCACGGAACAAGCGTAATTCGGTGGTATACGGAAACGCGCGGCGCATCGAGGAGTTCCGGCAAGGCGCGCTGCTCTCACGACCCGTGCAGGCGGGGTTATTGGTGGACGCGGGGACGGAGGCGCAGGTCTGGCAGTACGCGCTGGCCTGTCTGCTGGGTCGCGGGGCGGAGTCGGAGGCGGTCGAACTGGGTGGTGTGGACCTGACGCTGACCGAGTCGTTGGGCACGCCGCCGGCTGTCTACTCAAGTCTGCTCGAAATCCTCTTTGAGGAACTGGGACTGCACTCCGTCGCTTCCGTGGCCGCGCCTGTCTGCAACAACCTCGCGTTCCCCGCGGAATGCGCCGCCCAACTCGTCGGCAGTGCCGTCCAGCGCCGCGAAGGCCTCACCCAGCTCACCTTCGCCGCTTCCCCCTTTCCCCCCGAGTCCGACCTCGCCAGCCAACTGCGCTACGACTACGAACTCTACCATAACCGCCCGGGAGGAGCGCCGCCCGCACTCGCGCCGGCGCGGCTGACTGCGGACGTGGGATTTTCGGGCGTCGTGTGTGCGCCGCACTTCCGCCAGGCCCTGGTGGAGGCCGGTGCCTATCGCAACTACCTCGGTATCCATTACGTGAACAAACAGCTGCAGGAACGGCTCAGCCGGCGGACGCGGGCGCCGCTTGCCCACTACGACCTCCTCACCGACCGCGTCCGTCGTGCTTGCTGCTTCGTCTCGCCCGACATCACTACGCACGTGCCGCTCCTCTGCCAACGCTACCAGGCCCTGGCCAGCGACCTCTCTGCCTACAAGGGGGTGGGAGTCGAGACCGGGGTGGGAGTCGAGACCGGGGTGAGAGTCGAGACCGGGGTGGGAGTCGAGACCGGAGTGGATGTCGAGGTCGGGGCAGAGGCCGTGGTCGGGACAGAGGCCGTGGTCGGCGTGCCGGAGGGGACGGTGGGGGGGTTGGGCCCGGTGGCCTACGACTTGGTGAAGGACGAGTTGTTTGCGCCGCCGGACCTGAGCGTGGTTGCGAGCGAGCAGCATCTGCGGGAGTTGTGGCAGGGCGCAGTGTTGCTGGGTCCGGAACGTGTGGCGGTGTACGAACCGTTGTTTATGCCACCACGACGCCAGACGTTCCTGAGTCGGAGTGCGGAGGAACGAGGAGTGTGTGTACCTGTGCGGCTTTGGGGCACAGCCGGCTACCCAAGGACCACGCAGGGCGTGCCAGTGCGGCACGCACTCGGACTCGCCGACCTGGCCGCACTCTCCGTCAAGTCCGCGCCGCCCGTCCTCCAAGCCGCCGTCGCCTCCAACGTCGCCCTCTGCGGTTCAGGCGCAGATGTCCCCGGCCTCGTCCGCCGCTTCTACACCGAACTCCGAGCCGCACTGCCGCAAACGTGGGAACTCAACGTCCTCAAACTCCCACAAGCAAGGTTCACCACCTGGCTGTAAGCTGTACCTCCCTTCCCTTAGTCTCCTTTCCCTTTGGCCATTTGCCCGCGTTTAACTTTTTGGTTCTAGGGGCGCCTGCGTGTGGTCCAGTTTGCCGGATCGGTACACGCCTTCTGTGCTAACTAAGGAGAAGTACCGCGAGCTTGGTCACCATGGGGCGCGGCGGTAGCGTGAGCGAAGGTGAAGTGTCACAGTGCGTCTCCGAGGATTTAGATTATACCCGGCTGGCCGGTACCGACAATGGATTTAAAAAGGGAGGAATTTTTAGGGGAAAAATCACTAATACTATGAGCCACAAGGGAACGTCCGACTCCGACCACGCAGATAGCTCGACTCGTCTCCTGACGGACCAAAACCCCGATTCCGAGCCCACTCCACGCAGTGAGGTGGGTGACGAATCAATTATGGCGACAGCTGCTGGATCCCGTCATCGATGGGTCGGGCCACAATCACAGAGGGACGCGTGGGACGCTGAGCTCCTCAAGCTGGACCCTAGTAGGTTCGTGATAGTGCCCCCCACCAAGGATTCCTCCCCGGAAGCGGAGCAGAGGGCCTTCAAGCGGATAGTGGACAAGCTCTCCACATTCACTTTCGACCCTCGAAACTCCCGCGAATTTGAAGAGGGCATAACAAAGATGGCTCATGCCACCAAGAACGAAAGAGCCACCCTGGCCACAGTAATCCGGGTAC